TCAGGCGCTTATGCCCCAGAACGCATCGAGATCAATACCAACAGACGCAACTTTAGGCACGCTAACATTCGAGTGAGGGCCAAACTGCATGACAAGGTTGCCGGCAAATTTTGAGCAGAGAGCCTTAGAGGACTTTACAGTCAACTCACGGCTTCCTACAACAACTTGAAAAGAGATGACCTGAGCCTTACGGGAGGCTCCCTCACTCGGGAAGTTGAGCCGAAATACACAATTCCTAGCATCTCCTTTCTTCTCGGCAAACCAAGTTGAGGCCGAAGGCTTCAGCCATGTTTCCTCGTCCAATGGCTGCACAACCACCTTAGGCCCCGGAGCCCCGTTGAATGCCTCGATCTTAGCCCGAAGCTGCGCTGCATTGCCTACAGGATGCACGAACTTCACGTGCATCTGCAAAGCCTGCTGACCTCCTGAAGCTTTCTTAGCGGCTTCAGCGATGGCGGCAGTCAAGGCTTGGATAGCCATCCGAGCTTTTGCCACTTGCTGAACCTTAAAGAAAGGCTTCCCAACATCTGCTTGCATAGTTAGCGCCTCAGCTGGCGCAGCAGGCGTTGGATGGGCCGAAGCACATCGCTGCTCTGCTTGCTTCGCCAGCTCTGTCAGGCGAGCTGAGGCTTCCACCTTGGACAAATCTTCACCCTCAGATGCTAACGCGAGAAGCTTCCTGATCATCGGGGGAGTGAGCTCCTTGGCAGATTTGGCAGACTCCGCCGGGGAAGGTGGAGTGCGAGGGGTTTCAGGAGAACGACCTGCTTCCTGCTGACTATCATCGAATGACTCCTCCTCAGCCTTAGTCGCCTTGGTCTTCTTGCTGCCATGGACAGGCTCGAATGCAGGCCGCTTGAGCCTTGCATCGTTTCCACTCGGGAGGGATGACTGCGGCAAGCCCTGATTCCCCATCATCAGCATCATTTGATGCTGCATGTGACACATCTGCTCCCAGGACACGTTGCCCCAAGGAAACATCACGCGGTCCTAGCAAGTCCTACGGATTATGGGTTTAGGGTTGGGGGTGTTCTCTACCATCATTTGTAGGCCGCTACTATGACAGAAACCCTGGCGACTCCGTGCCGGCAACGGGGCTTACAACAGAAACTGTAACGGAACGTAGTGGAGCTGTAACGGATTTGTCGCTCAGCTGTAACGGACCTGTAAAGGAGCTGTAACGGAGCTGTGACGGAAGCTGTAACGGAGCTGCAGAAGCTGCAACGGAGCTGTAACGGAGCTGTAACGGAAGCTGTAACGGAGCTGTAACGGAAGCTGTAACGGAGCTGTAACGGGGCTGTAGCAGAAGCTGTAGCGGGGCTGTAACGGACCTGCTACGGAGCGGTAACGGACCTGCAACGGAGCTGTAACGGAAGCTGTAACGGAGCTGTAACGGGGCTGTAGCAGAAGCTGTAGCGGGGCTGTAACGGACCTGCTACGGAGCTGTAACAGACCTGCAACGGAGCTGTAACGGAAGCTTTAACGGAGCTGTAGCGGAGCTTTAGCAGGAGCTGTAACGGAGCTGTAACGGACCTGCAACGGAGCTGTAACGGAAGCTGTAACGGAGCTGTAACGGAGCTGTAGCAGAAGCTGTAACGGAGCTGTAACGGAGCTGTAGCAGAAGCTGTAGCGAGGCTGTAACGGACCTGCTACGAAGCTGTAACGGACCTGCAACGGAGCTGTAACGGAAGCTGTAACGGAGCTGTAACGGAGCTGTAGCACAAGCTGTAACGGAGCTGTAACGGACCTGCAACGGAGCTGTAACGGACCTGCAACGGAGCTGTAACGGAAGCTGTAACGGAGCTGTAGCAGAATGCTGTACGGAGCTGTAACGGACCTGCAACGGAGCTGTAACGGACCTGCAGCGGAGCTGCAACGGAAGCTATGACGGAGCTGTAGCAGAAGCTGCAGCGGGGCTGTAACGGACCTGCAACGGAGCTGTAACGGAAGCTGTAACGGAGCTGCAGCGGAGCTGTAGCAGAAGCTGTAGCGGAGCTGTAACGGACCTGCAACGGAGATGTAACGGACCTGCAACAGAGCTGTAACGGAAGCTGTAACGGAGCGGTAACTGAGGGCCCAGGGTGGGTAGCGCAAATCCCATAGTAAATGGTGGTAGAGAACACCCCCAAGTTTAGGGTAGGTCTCTGCCCCTGTGAGGCTGCCATACTTATGGGATCCATTGACCTAGGCTCTGCACCTGTCGGGGGTTTAACAGAATTTTCCGCAAGGCCTGAAGCACTTTTTGACACCCCCGAAACTCGAAGAACCAGGAGAGGCATCTGAGCCGTAAGGTGGGCAGAGCGTCTAGCTAGGCATAAGCTCCTTGCCAATATCGTTCAGGAAAGAAGCTGGTGCACTTCTTGCGTGCAGCTCCCGCAGCCCAGGCTTAGCTACGTAGAAATAATGCGCGAACAGACCCTGCTGTCCGGACTCCATAGCACCGAACTTTGCCAGTCGGTTTTCGCGCGGCACTGCTGCGAACCCGAACTCAGAGACCTGCCTTGGCATCACGAACGCAGCGTCACTTGGAATCCTGCTCGTCGTCTTCCGAGGGCGTCGACAACTCTTTTTGCTGGCTCTCCGACCGGATCTTCTCGACCACTTTCTCGACTTACACATGATTAAATCATGAAAGACTGAAAGAACCTCTGGTTCGGGTGGCTCCTTGTTCTGGTCTTACTGTTCTGGGATCTAGGAACTTGTGCCTCTCCATTAGGCTCCTGCGTGATGTTTTGTGGGTAAAGGGAACTCCAGAAAGTTGGAATATGGATTAATGGTAGGATCCCCTATAATTTACCTTGAAGGGGTTACCACAATGATATTCCAACTTTCTGGCTTCTACTGTAGGGCCTTTTGGTCCAGGATTTCATTCTTTCAGGCTTCGGCGCTCGGTGTCTTGAGGTTCCCAGCCTTGAAATCCTAAATCTTCAGTTCGAGCGTCGCCTCTTCGGAATTTGGCTGCTATAAGGGCCTTAAGCTCGAATAAGGCTGTCGCGGGCCTGTTGTGGTATGATATATATATATATATGTATATATATAAAAACTTATTATATTTCAGATGAGCAATAAGGAAAATGCGAGTAATTGTTCATACCTCTGCAACATTTCAACACACCAGGGCCTGCAAGCAAGAGACGCCTCTGAGTTGGGGACCCCGTACACAAAAGACTGGTGCCCACTGAGAGCAGTGATTTGTGCGCCTGCGAGGATGGCTATCATAGTCACCATGATGGCAGTACAAAAATGGGCGTTTCCGAAAATAGGGGACCCGAATATAGTACCCTAAATGGTAGGATCCTTATTATAAGGACCCCAGAATAAGGCCCATTTTCGGAAATTCCCAAATAGAGCAAGAACAACCATCGTGAGGATGTCGCAACAGCCACATTCAGGACTGTTAATTACGAACAAAAGCAAGATCAAACACGGCTGCCCCTGTTGAGGCTGCCGGTGTGCAGTCTTCGTGGCTTTGGCATATATGGCAAACTATGGAAGTGTTGCATGCAAGATTTTGATGTGCAGACATTCGTGTTGGGGCGCTAGACTTTTTTTTGCAAGAACACAGTGCAGGTACGATGTTTTGGGGCATTAGTCCTAAGAAAGCCTCTCCCCTACTACAAACTACAAACATGCCAGTGCGGCCATCGAAGGACCACATCTTTACGACGCTATCGTTAGAAGCCGTGGCAATGAACGAGGTGCTGGAGGCGATGGCACCTGGTCCGCAAAGCAAAAATACGCAGCTTTCACGGTTAAGGTCAAAAGGTGCCGCTCGACTTCTCAGTACTCCCTAAACCCTAAACCCTAAACCGGTCTGACTCTCTGAACGACCACGTCATGACCTCAGCAAACTCACACCATCCTGTGGGCTGCGAGGTGTTGAATTCTGAAAAGATCCTTCGCAATCATTTACGGCAAACAGCCTCAAGACTAAATTCCTTCAACCCCGTAACCCAGCCCAATGAGGCAGCAGCGGATGATGTCGCCGTGAGCCTGGACAACTGTGAGTGCTGGTTACGTTTTGGTCCGACAGGGCTGCGGGAATGAAGGTCGAATAATCGGTGATCGGAAATTTCCGTCTCAAGTAGACAGTTTATTTCGGGGGCTGGATCCCGAAACCCTTCACCACCAAAAGACCCTGGGCTCTTACGGCTTCCGGCCTCATCGATTTTGTGCACGCATTCGGTCCCACGGAACACGCGCAACGTCTTGTCCTGCCGAAGACGACAGTCAGATTCAGGGTGTCACCCCTAAACCCTAAACCCCTAAATCCCAAACCTTCAAACCCTAAACCCCTAAACTCTAAACCTTCAAACCCTAAGCCCCCAACCCCTAACCACTAAACCTTCACATCCTCAATCCTACGGTTTTGAGTCTCGGGCTTCGGGATTCCAAGGATTGGCCTGGCAATCTTTAAAGGGTTCTTTAAGGGTTACTGCTAAGAGCAACTGCAAAGGATAAGCTAGGGGCCTTAAAGATTAGAATAAGGTTTTGGGGCCCATCATACTACAATTATAAGGAACCCCCATATTACGCGGGTTTAAGGCTCCTTAAAGGGGTCCCGTGGCGCCAGCCTCAAAGCAAATCATCGGTACATCCCCGATCACTCTGATGGAGGGTTCCGTGAACTTCTGACAAAGCCCAATCCCAGCTGGACTTTGCTGAGCACTTTTTGATTCAGTGTCCGGACAGCCGAATACGTCGCAACTCTACCTCAAGTGCCGGCAGCCCCTACACCCTAAACCCCTGACCCTGAACCTCTAAACCCTAAACCTAAACGCCGAGTCCCTGAACCCTAAGTCCTGCGAGCCCGTGACAATCTCTCCCGTGGGCAGAGAGGCCACAGTCACTGCGTGAGCTCCTTGCCGGGGGGATGAGAGAGGGGCCTGGGGTTTAGGGGTTTCAAAGCCATTTAGGGTTTAGGCTTCAACTTCGTGAACAACAATATTTCCCAAATCCCGAACCCTAAGAAGGACCCCTTTTGTAGGGTGCAACTTTAAGCTTAGAGTGTTGAGCCTCAGCACACCTACAGCTCACCCAGGGTTTAGGGAAAGTTTAGGGTCTAGGGCCAGTCAGATGCTGTCTGGTTTAGGGTTCAGAGTTTGGGGTCAGTTAGCCTGCGCCCCCCTCGGACAGACGTCCCACCGCCCGGCCAGAAACCTGAACGTCCCGATTCCCTTGGGCCCACAACCCGAAGAAATCTGACTCTTTCAGAACTTGCCTGCATCCAGAGTGTGCAGGCAGGTGCCGTTGCTTGCATCCCACACCTGCCACCGGGGCAACTTAACTTGTTACTCTGACTGTGCGACTCTGCGCCAGTCGTGCCGCTCGCCAAGTGCAGGCACGACTTATCAAAACAAAGGTGGAAATGAGTAAAATCAACAAAATATTCTTTTGGGGCCTTAACAACTAGGTTTTTGCATCCTATAGATACTCTGGTTATGGAAGGCTTTCAGGGAGAAGTACGACTCATTGTCGAGATTCCTAGCATCTGTTTATGTCGGATCCACTGCCAAAGTCTGTCATTCGCCAAGAATCAGCCGAATGTCCCTGCATTGATCTCAGGCAGGGTTCAGGGGTTTCGGTTCAGGGTTGAGGGCTTTGGGATTTGGGCAGGGTTGAGCCGCAAGCCTGGGGCCCAGCCTATCAACCCATTGATGTCGAAGAGGGCTCCGCGCAAAGCAATGTCGGTAGGATGCAGGGGGATGCTTCGATGCCGTTGCAACAACCACGAAGGCTCTAAAGTCGCAGCACTGGGGCACGTACTCCCACTTCTCAAAACCTCGCCATTTTGACTTTTCGTGCTATGTCCGAAAGCCTCATACAGTGTTGCTTGTAGAAGCGGGGACCTAGAATTCTGCCTGCAGACGGCTCAGAACCCAGAAAAGCCACTGTCAGTGATCCAGATCGTTTTTTCGCGCCTTGGCTTTGCCGTCCCAAGCTCCACTGACAACCTTGCGGTTCCAAGATTTCTGAGGGTCAGGAGGACGACAGTACGGTGCCATGTATATTGGTCGAAGTCATGGGGAAGCTTCTCACTGGCAAGGGCCGCTGACGCGCGGCAGTATTGAACACTGCCACTGTGCAACTATGCGCTTGTGGTTCTTCTTACACCGAAGACCAGCAGCCCAGATTGCATGCCTAGCAAAAGTAAACAATAAACTACGAACACAGAGAGCGGCGGCGGCAATGGCACGTGCGAATGCATGTAAGTATGTATGTATGCGTGTGGCGGCAGGTAGGTAGGCAGGCAGGCATGTAGAACTCTTGTAGGTCGGTCGGTAGCTCGTAGGTAGGCGCGTAGGTTGTGTGTAGCAGGCATCCATGTAGGCATGTTTGCATATGTGTAGGCATATGCATCCGGGTACGTATACGTGCATGTACATGTACATGTATCTGGTATATCTTTTTGTTCATGCATTGTGTAAGCAAGTATATGTAAACATGCATATGCATAAACCTGTATGTGCAGAGGTACATTTGTATGTACGCACGGTCGTGGCTATGTCTGTTTGTCTGTCTGCCTGTCCGTGGGTAGATGGCTAGGTAGGGTATGCATGTATATGCTGTGCATGCAGACAACACATGCATGCATCTGCGTGTACGCCGGTACTTATGTATATGTACATGTAACCACACCTCTATATATATATATATATATATATATTCATGTGTGTATGTGGGTATGTGAATATGTGTATGTCCCTGCGCATGTACATACTAGTGCATGAATGAATGCAGGTGTATAGCCGTACATGTGCATAAGCGTCCTCCTCCTCCTCGTCCTACAATACGACGGCAATATCACGGTAGGCCCATGCATCTAACGCTGCTGCTACTGCTGCTGCTCGTGCTCCTCCTACTCCTACTCCTACTCCTACTCCTCCTACTCCTACTACTCCTACTACTCCTACTACTCCTACTACTCCTACTACTCCTACTACTCCTACTACTCCTACTACTACTCCTACTACTACTCCTACTACTACTCCTACTACTACTCCTACTACTACTACTACTACTACTACTACTACTACTACTACTACTACTACTACTACTACTACTACTACTACTCCTACTCCTACTACTACTCCTACTACTCCTACTACAACAACAACGACGACTACTACTGCAACAACTACAACAACAACACCAACAACAACAACAACAACCACTACAACAACAACTACTACTACTCCTCCTCCTGCTGCTACTGCTGCAACTACAACAACAACTACTACTACTACTACTACTACTACTACTACTGCTACTACTACTACTACTACTACTACTACTACTACTACGACTACTACTACTACTACTGCTGCTACTACTACTACTACCACCACCACGACGGCGAAGAAAGCCCAAGACCTACGTCACCATTTATCACCTCTGCCACCACCAGCGACTAACACAACTTGCTGAAGTCGCACACGGAAACAGTAGTCAAAAGGAAAACGCTGCTGCATCAACACCAACAAAGCTGCAACATGACAAAGGCCCATACCATCCCGAGCACACTAGCCTTGGCCGCGATCTCCACGATAGAGCATACGGGCCTCAGCGGCGGAACCTATCAAGTCCTCACTAGCTGCTTTCTTGGACCCCGGCGAAGCGCCCCCTGACGCCGCAAACCCTAAAACACAGAGGAAAATCCCCAAAGCCAAACAGATATGTACCTCTGCGGTGGCACCCCTGCGCTACATCCCGGATCCAAGCCTCAACCCTGAACCGTCAACAAACCCAAAACCCTAAATCCAAAATCTGCAGGCCCCAGATACAGGGCTTTGGGGTACATTGCAGTGCCATCACTTTGTAGCTTCCCTAAACCCTAAACCCAAAATAGCTTCCTGAAGCTCCAGAGCTCAAGTAGAGGAAGGGTTTAGGGTGTAGGGTCCTGAAAGCCCTGCGTTTGCTGCTCGTGCTTCTTGTCGCCTCATTTAGGATTCGGTTTACACCGCCAGGACCCTCAAAACCTGACGTTCGACAGCCGCCTTTGCTTGGAGCGGGGCCCTTCGTGACCCTCGAAGCGCACGCCTTCATGAGAGATAAACTTAGGGTTCTCTAGGGTTTCAGACTGTAGGTAAATATCATAGTAGGCGTAGTATGCTGTTGCCCAATCTGCCGTACATACTCGCATGAGCTTTTTCCGGATTCTTCTACGACCGTCAGGCATACACCTCCTCGAAGCCTCAAGCCTTGAAGCCAAGATGATAACATCTCCAGCTACGGCTTGCGGTCTGCTGATTAGGGTCTGCGTTTAATGGGGCATTATGCTGACCCCCCAAACCAGAACGAGTTTCGAATTCCCATGACCCTGGGTTCCTTAGGGCCCCAAAAAAGCACATAAGCAACAATTAGGGTAGGGATATCCCATATAAATCCCCTTATCATGAAGCCCAAAAAGGTAGGGATATCCCTATAAACCTCAACTCCGGATCTTTGGCCGAATGGGCATGACCGAGCCCTGAGCTCTAGGACGATCACATGCCCAAACCTCACCCGAAACCCGAAACAGCAAGCCCACACCCATTCCCCTTACTGTAAACCCTGAACCCGCCGACCGAGAACCTATGATTTGTCCTGGGCTGTTCTTCTCAAAATGTTCTGAAGATCAGTAGAGTCCAGGACTTTCTGCCATCCAGGCAGGCGGCGGCGAGGAAACAGCTGACGTCTCCCGGTTCAGGGACAAAAAGCGCCCTCTCAAACACTCCTATGCTGGGGGCTACGCTGATTCAGAGTGCAGGGATCTGGGCAGATGTCGAGTTGCTTGAACAAGGCTCGATGGAGTATAAATCTGGGCCCCCCGACACGGATTTCCCTCAGCATCGCACTTCAAAGCAGTCCGGTCCTTCGAGCACTTGCCATGAGCTCAGGGGTGTAAGGCTTAGGGTCTTCAGCACGAAGCCAGATGCAGCAAAGCTGAGCTCTTTTGCCGTGGAGTCTGCGCCGCTCTGTGTCGCGTTCTATGTCGGAAGCCCCGAAGGTTTCTCTGGAAACCCTGAGTGCTGAAGTCACTGCCCGAAAGATTCGAAGTACTGAGCCCGCAATGCCGACGTCAGTGTGCGCATGCGGAGGTAAGGTCCGGGCACATCCTTCTCCTGTTCTTCCGGATCCTCTTCTCCAAATTCGACGTAACTTGGACTGCGTCCCAGGTATCTTGGACAGGTGGCGACATAATCGCGGGCGGCTTCCTCCAGATTCTCGTACCTCCGGGCGCAATCAATAACGTCCTGGTTCGAAAGGTTCACGAACCAGTCCCACAGCCTTGGGACCGAGAAGAGGTTGCCATCTAGCACGTGAGCCCCCACCAGTACGTGGAACATCCTGCACACGGTTTCATCTCGTTCGATTCTCTTTTTGGTGCCCAAGTCCATGAGGCCGGTTAGATGAGCAAACCAGCCATGCGGCTGGGATCTTGTTTGTCCAAATACTCTTCCACTTTGCCGTCTAGGCTCTCCAGCGTCTGTTTGGGGTCCCGGACGGACTCAGCCACTGCGACCGCCAGTCGCAGAGTCCTCTTGCCCAGGCTGACATGCATTCCAGGTCCCAGTCGAACGTGGCACGGTCGGTTGCAGACCGGGCTCGTCGAAGATCTTGTGCAACTTCAGGGGGTTTGGAGCCGGTTCTATCGGAGCTTTCCTGCTCGCAAGTTCCCCAAAACCAAGGCGATCCATTCGTCGGAAGAGCTGCGGAAGCCATTCTGGCTGATCCTTCGGCTGCTCCTTCATCTCCTCGTAGTCTATATTAGTCTATCACCTTGTTGTCCACCCTCACACACAAGAACTCATCCATATCGTAGTCCTCGCCTTTCCTGTTCAGGGCTGCATGATGGAAGCAAAGCACGTCGTCTGGCTTTTCCGCCCTCCAGCCGATTCCTTTCCCGTCAACGCAAAGCTCCAAACGCAGGATGGTGTTGCCGATGCACAGTTGATAGTTGAGCTCCGGACAGCGCAACCATCACCTGACAAAGACAGCGGCTTGGAGTGTGCACTTGCAGCTAGTGCTGCTGATGTTATGAGTATGGATGCAGTGATTTTCGCAGGCAAAGGTACGCAGCAACTCAAATCCAATCTCCCAACGTGGTGCGGGAAGTGGAGACATGCTGGCAACTAACATAAAGCCCGGCCGGCTCCCTCTTGGAGGATGGTCGGCACGTCTGCGCACTGCTCCCACGTCGTGGCTTAGCACAATTCTGCGGGCGTCGCAGGGGCGAGAGCGAAAAGGCAGGGCATCCACGGTGCAAATCGCAAAACTCTGAACCCTCCACTATCGGTGCTACTAGTATTGCAATGATCATCATTATATTTGATGTTATTATTATTCATCGCAAAAACCAACACCCATCATCAGACCTTGACTCGTAAACCCACGCCTTTTCTCGGTGGAAAATGATTAAGACAAAGCCAAGTCCGACGGTTGATGATATAAATCCTGCATGACCTTAAGGATCCTAAACTACGGGAATTATGGTATATTCCTTATTATGGGTAATGCAGGATTTATATCATCAACCGGAGGAGGGCAACTCTTCACAGAGGCACATCGCGTGGGAGGCTTCTGCTGGCTTAGGGTCTGTGGTTCAGGGTTTAGGGCTTCGGTTTCCGGGGGTATGGTTTACGGTTTAAGGCCTAGTGGTTAGCCACAAAATTGCTAGAGCCTGCCTTCACAGCGAGCCTCCTCTGACGATTGCTCCACGGTTAGAAGGCGTAGGGAGCAGACCGACGACTTTCCACCGGGCATCCTTCCCTTCCGATTCCACTGCTCTGCTTTTCGCCTCTAAGTCGCTTAGGCCTTTGCATGGGGGTCATGAGTCATGATTGCGGTCGTCAGCTAACAGTCATGCGAGAACCGTAGTAGACTACCTTGTGCCAGTAGTTCTCCTGCACCATCTGATTAAACTTACCCCAGAATCGGAACACACAAAACCTCCAACCAGGAATCCTGAAACCGCAAACTTTACATATTAGCTCCGGCAATATTTAGAGCAGCTGGGCACGTGGTGCATTTTCAGTGCAGAATCCACATTCGGACGACACGCACAAACCATAGCCATGACAAGTTCTAGACTATAACCCTACCACCTGCAACCCCACAAACCCTGAACTCGCCAATGCAAGGCCTTTGCGTTAACATACCTTTATAGCACCCTTTTTAAAATCCTTTCTATGGTCTATGAAAGTCCATGGCAAGGTTTTCGTCCCTGTCAGCGGCGCATGGGGGGGCGGATCTTTCGGCTGGTCCCGCTGTGCTTGTTGAGCTGGAGCTTCTTCTGAAGGTCGAAGACGTACCTCGGCTCCCAGAGCCTCCAAAACCCCTTAATTAAGGAATATACCTAAAATCCTCAAAATTTCCAAAATTTCCAAACTTTCCAAAATTTCGAAATTTTAATAGGATCCCTCATATATGATTTAAGTTATATTCCCTAATTAAGGGGTTTTTGGGAGGCTCTGGGGGCTGAGGATCTTAGGATTTAGGGCTTATAGGGCTCAGGGGATCTATGGGGATTTCAGGTTCGGGGATTATAGGGATTCTGCAAAATTGAGGGTTGGGGGATGGAGGCTTCTAGGGTTACAAGTATAGTAGATATAATGCTCAAAAAAAGGCTTGAAGGCACTCTGATCATCTGAAGCTCAAGAATCAGGGATGTAGTAAGTAAGGCAACAAGCAAGAAAGTTGTATGTGAGTTTGAACCAAGATTACTGTACTTAACCTCTAAACCCTAGCCCCTAAACCCCGAAACCCCAAAAAATTATCAACCTATGAACCCCAAACCCGTCGACCCTAAGCCCTTTCTAGCATCCCTTATAGCCTTGTTGGACAACCCTTCCGAAACCCTGAAACCCTAGGCCCTACACCCCGAAGCCCGGGTGGCGTGTACTCGCCGATCTCCTTCTCCAGCTGCCGCACGCCATCGGCCTCTGCGCGATTCAGCTCAGAACCTGGGAAAAGCCATTTTGGGCTCGGGAGGAGGTCCACGGCGTTAGGAATTCACATTTGGGTGGTTGTAAAAAGTAGGGTCTCCTTTAGGGTACCTTAAATTTTAGGTGCCGTATTAGAATAAGGACCCCAAAACGGACCATTTTCTTGACAACCACCCATTTGGAGGTCCAAGGCGTTAGGAATTCAAATTTGACGCGAAAAAATGAAGGTTTACGGGGTTAGGGTCCGGAGATTTGAGGTTTTGGGACTGGGGTCTAGGGAAATTTAGGGTTCAAGCGGTTTAGGGATTGAGACTTGGGGTTTAGGGCTCAAGGATTTGGGAGGAGAGTTGGAATGTGCGAAAAGAATACAAATCGAGCTTCATAATTAGACAAAGGCTTCATAGGCCACCATGAAAGTTTCTATAATGGTGTGAGGCTGTAAGGTTAGACCTCTGGGTTGGAGTTTATCACTTGCGGGGTTTTGGGCCAAACTTTGGGGCTTTCGGGAGGTTTCCTAAATCTCGGATTTAGGGGTGTGGCGAGTTTAAGGAATAGCTTTTTTTTAGGATGTCAACATTTCTTCGGATGTCGGCATTTTGCCCCGGGAGGCAATCCGACTTTGAACAACAGGCGCGACAAAGCAAGGCATTGGCAGTGCCTGGTCTTTGCCGTGACGGGACCCCGGTCTTTGGGTGCAAGCTGTTTCCTGCCGTTCCGATTCTTCGGACTATGATACAGGGTTGGAGGGATCGGGCCCACATCCTCTGAAAAACCTGCACCTCAATATGGTTTGGGCGGCACACAGAGGACTCTTCCTTAACCTGCTATGCCTTCAAAACCATTCTTACTTGAACGCCAAGGCACTCACATCTGGAGGAATGTCCCTCCATCCTCGGGGCTTTTCAAGCATGCGAGGGCTTCGGCTTGGCTTGGCTCAGGGTGGCTGAAGCGGACTCTGCGAGAGTGTGATGATTATATGTGGACCCTCATTTACAAACCCCTCCCTATAAGGGTCTCAGAATTAAGACCGCGACTATTGGCCATTAACCGAGGAATCTACAAAAACTTTCGGGTGAGAAGCGGCTGGAAGATTTTGGAAAGCCTAGGTTAAAGGGGCTGCTCCTGGAAAACTGAACCAAAACCGCCCTGAAGCCCTGAACCCTTAACCCTAAAAGCCCTAATCCCAAAACCCCACAGCAAGAAAGACTCAGGAGGCCAAACGACACTTGCGCCTGGTTGGGCGATGTGGGGTTGGCTGGGAGCCAGCTTGCATCAATCTCAGTTTGTGGTCTTCTGAGAGGTTTACAGCCAGAACATGCAAGATCCCCGGCCTGAAACCAAAAACCCTAGACACTACAAACACGCCGCTACTTTGGAGGTGGGGCTACAGCTCGGTGATTTTGGTCGTGCGGGCCTTTGTCCAACTGAACCTGCCAATTGCGGCCAGTCGTTCCACTGGTAGTCTTGCGCATCAACCTCGGCAAAAAGCAGAGTGCCTTCTGTGCCGGCTTCTGCTTAACGTGTGCTTGATGTGTCTCTGACCCGCCATTGCCATCCAATTCGAATGGTCATGCATCTAGAAATGAGGTCGAGGTAACCGATGACAATGATGGCGAAGTTGACGATGGTCACGGTGACAGTAATATCGCTGCTGCCGCTGCTGCTGATGATGACGGTGGTGGTGATCACGACTATGAGGGTGATGATCAAGGAGAAGACGACAATTGTGATGATGATGCTTGTTGTGATGCAGTGCAGATGAGGGAGGTGATGACGGAAGCAATTACTTTACTCTTGCTTCCTTGCGCCGTTTACTGCTGCGATGCTTGGTGGGGTTCCTCTCTCTGTTCTTCTTCTGCTTGTTGCTGGTCCTTTTCTGCGTCGCAGCTCGTCTCATTATCACCAGCACCTTCACCTCAAACTATGATTAGCATCGTCACTGACGGCAGAGTTGGCAATGATCAGTACCACCAGCATGGACCCTTGACTGTCTCACCGAAGATACATAGTATAGGGGCCTTAAAATCAGAACAGGGTTGTGGGGCCCAGTTTACTATGACTATCATAGGGAACCCCCAAAATAGTATTGGTAACTGTAGTGGTAAATATTTATATAGCCCCCTATAGTAGGCAAGGAGCTTTGGAACCTTGCTCGCTTCATACTGCCGTCGATAGATGACCGCATACTCCGGGTAAACCTGCCAGCAGCTCTCTTCTTAAACCCCAAACCCAAAACCCTTCTGATCTGGCGAGATGCTTACAGCCACGGGCTCTTAGCTCCTGAAGTCAAAGGCCCTAAGGTTTGCAGCTTAAATAATTCTTAACAGACAGGCTTTCGAAGTACACTGCAGTATAGATGTATTATAGGGGCTGTAGGGCGACACAATTATTCCGACCCCGATCTTACCGGCAGCTCTCCGTCCTGAAACCAGGGTTTGCCTGAATGATACAGGCCCCAGTGGCTAAACCTGGGCACTCCAACTGCTACCCAGAACTTCTGTCTGGTGAAGAAGTAGGGAATGAGGGAATGGATCCCTATAATAGTCCCCATATAATCTCAATAGTAGTCCCCATAGCCCATTCCCCCGTTCCCTACTGAGAACCAGACAGACTTCAGAAACAGGTCCGCAAACCCAGGTTGCCCTGAAGCGCCAAACCATCAAAAGCCCCAAACATCTACTGTAGGGGCTTTGAAAAGTTAGAATGGGTTTGTGGGTCTATCATACTATAGTTATAATAAGAAACCCCCCAAAATAGTATACTTAGTCATTAAGGCCCCCCATAGTACACCTCAACCCGAAATCCACATCCCAAAACCCGCAGCTGTGAACCACAAAAACCTGAACCAAACCTGAATCCCATGATCTCAAAATGCTGCCAAACCTGACGCTCGTCGAAGAAGATGAACTCCCGATAGGTGCCCACCTTTGAAAACTTTTGGGATTTCAGAGATTCAGCGATCAGATCCCGTGGGCTTTTGGAGATTTTATCTGAAAAGGTTTCAAGGTTATGTATCTTTGCACGCATTTCTGAGATCCAAGGCTCAGGGATTCACGAATTCAAGCTTCCGGCCGAAGCCGCGGCAGCAAGGAGGTTAAGCCGGTTAAGCTCCCAAACATAAAGCAAAAGACACATGCTCTGGGGTGGATTTGGCGCTTTGTTCGGTTCTTCGGTTCAAAGTTTCGGGGTCCATGCATTGGGCTGTGAGCTTGACAGCCTCTACTGTGAGGATGAACGGCAGTTGGAAGCTGAAGTATGGGCATGTTGTCTTCTTGTTGTTGTTGCTGCTGCGACTATCATACTACTAGTATCAGTAGTATTACTAGTGTTGTTGATTTTCGCATATGCCATACCTACTTTTCGTCCAGCTGCCTGAGGAGACTGAAGGTGTACCGTTTAGGACTCGAAGAGCGGATGATACTGCGCAAGAGAAGATCACATGTTACCTACTCTACTACCAGGATAAGGTAGCCCTACATCAGCATCTTTACATGCTGTGGGGGAGATCGTGAGTATGGCGGAGTCATAGTCTCCGTAAATCTCAGTCCAAACCTTCAAATAGCTTCTGGATCCAGCATTCCACTTTTTCTTGGGGTGGTTTCTTTCCCTCCCTCGGTGGGAATGCTGTTCTATGTCTGAGTCCTAAGCTTACTCAGAATCACAGACATGCTGCCCAACAGAACTTTCCAGCTCCCACAACAAGCACAACCAGTCTACTGTCACTAGCCAATACCGGCATCAAGTCCAGTCTTCCCGTGCCTTGGACTCACGATCGCCCACGACACAATCCATGCCGGCTGCTTTGGCGGCAGTCACCGCCTGGGGGTGCTCACAAAGCTCCAGCTGCTCAGGTAATTATTAAGGCCCCTATAGTAACCCAAGGTCCCTGGGTACTCGTAGTGACTTCTGGCACTCTAACGAGTGTGAGGTGTCAAACACAAACTGCAACATTCCATTGAGCCAATACGTATGTTCACGATCAATTCCTAATCCCTGCCCCGGCGCACCTTTAGTCCTCCCACACAAAACTGAAGACTTCTCAGCCCCGAGACCAAAACAAACACTGAGGCGACGGCGTCGCCGGGGTCTTGGACGATGTAGGGGTCGCCTACTAGGCTGCGGCAGATAAGCATCGCCATGAGGCCCGGGAACCTCAGCTTCCGTAGGGAGTCTTTGGAGTGCTGTATGGCATCCCAGGGTGTGAAGGCGCGCTTATCAGAATGCGATTATCAATCATGCCACCATAAACAAACTGGTATTGTTCACGACCCCCGTGGTATCACACTACTTGAATGCGCCTGAGTCAATTTGTTTTTTACACTTTACAGTACAAGGCCCGAACATCGAAAGCCCCAAGAAGCTGTGAACGCACCAAGTCTGACTCGGGGCACCGGCCACCCCGAATTACGCAAACACCCGAAAACCCACACACCCTAAACTTCTATATAATAACTACGGAGTAATCCTAAACCCTCCAAAGCCCTAAACCCTAAATTCTCACCCTCACTTAACCCGAAGCCCAATCTTCCAACTTCTCAGCGTTCTGCCTAACACCGGCAGAAATGGCAAGCAAAGGTGGAGGTGTCTTCTTCTTTAGGAATGGCTTTATTGGTGTAAGGCTCGCAGTTGATATTCGCAGCCAGCGTCTCAAATTTACAATCATCTTGTTGTTGTAGTTTGCTTCTGCAGCTGTTCTCCTGGTCATTACATTTTCCGCTGCAGCTCCTGGTAGGATCACTGTTAAGATGGAAGTACTCCCACCGCGCTGCTTTTGCACAATACCGGGCGACGTTCCCCCGTTGTCGTCTCGCGCATACTCGTCTGACTTCGAGACGCACTCGGCCATGTAAACCTCGGTGCGAGCGTGGATTTGGGCTCGTAACATCAACTGACTTAGGAATATCTGATGTGGGAGTTCCCGAAAATGAAGGACCCCAATATAGCACCCTAAATTGTAGGATCCTTATTAAAAGGACCCCCCAAATAAAGTACCCCCTAAGTTTTGGAAACTCCCGCCAGTGAGGAAGCCTGTCCACTCCAACCCCGAAAAACTCCAACCCAAGGACGGCCTGAACCCAAGACACCTTTCTTCCGAAACCCTCCACACCCTAAACCCCAAGCTCGAAAGCGAAACCTACCTAAAATCCCCTAAACTCTAAACGAAAATCCCCTAAACTCTAAACGGCCCTAAACTCTTAACCCTCAACTCTTAATGGCCCTAAACCCTAAACCTGCAAAAGCCGGGCCACCCCGTTTCCGAACATGGTTCCCGTGGCGCTCCCGGCGTGGTCTAACTTGAAGCCGCCCTTTAGGATGGCCATGGCCTCGGTCAGATGTTGTTTTTACAGGTTTTACAGTTGTTTTTCAAAGTTAGGATGGCGGAATATTAAAAGTTTTTTTTTTTTAATGTGTAGTGTTTAGGGTTTGGGGTTTAGGGTTAAAGTTTAGGGTTTTGAGGGTTAAGGTTCAGGGTTTAGGGTTTGGGGTTTAGGGTTTAGGGCTTTAGAGCTTGAGGGGTCTAGTTTGAACTGGTTCTGTAAGGGCTGGTATCAGGGTTCTACGATATAGGTGGC